ATAGAGAAAGAGATATCAGTACTGGTATTGTTTTTAATATAGAGAAATCACATTATGAGCAGTAAGAATTCTTATAACACTTAGTTTTGCAAATCCCAGTTTTTAGCTTATAGAGAAATAGGTGAAAGAGGAATTTTTAAGAAAAGTTGCTGTTTCATAATTTTGACACAGAGAAAAGAAATATATAAACATTTTCTAACAGGTAAGCCAGGATACTAGCTTCTTTAATTTGACTAGTGAATGAGAAAAATTTCCACAAAATACTAAGTGATTTGGCAGAAAGACCAAAATACATGAATGCCACTCAAAATACTTAATTGGAATGAATACTATTTTATAGGAAGAAATAAAAATATCCTTATGAACTGAGATATCAAAGAAAAACAGAGTAAACACCACAGTAAAAATACATATTTACACCTTTTTGTACAAAACTTAAAAATTTTAAAACATGTACAATTAACAGGAATTACATAGATGTATCTTTCCAGTTCAAAAGAGGCATCACCTGATGTATTTCTGCTTGTCCTATATTGGCATCCTTCGGTCTCAAAAGACTATGGTATCGTGTTCTGAAAAGAGGTCCTAAAACAGCAACCAGTGTGGCTAAAAAGGCCAATTCGAGAGTGGCAATCCCTTCCACACTGAGGACAGATACAGTCTGTCCCCTGTCCAGCCCCCAGATTTCACTGGTTCCGGGATGGCCTTTTTGCCTCAGCCTGCCAAACGGGTGTCTCTTCGAATTGGAGAAGGCCATGCTGCATCTTTTGCCTCCAAGCTGAATAATTTCAAGGTTTCCCAGCCGTTAATGTCCATTCCCAAAGCCTTTAGATCTCTCTTGCAGATATCCTGTGTCTCCCTCTAGAGTGCTTTCCCTGCACTGATTCTCCATAAAGGAGGTCTTTCAGAAACCGCCCATTGTCCTATAACTATTAAGAATACAGGAGTTTTGGAGATGAGTTTTGGGAGTGAAGCAATAGACATTTCATCTAATTGAAACCCATTTAAATGTACCCATTTAAATGAGAACCAGTTTGGCACAGTGGTTTAGCCATTAGGCTAGAAACCAGGAAACTGAATTCTAGTTGAACTCAAGTATTAAACCAACTGGTGACAATGGGCCAGTCACTGTCTCTCAGCCTAAGGGAGAGAGTGACAAACCATTGGTTTAAATATTGTCAAGAAAATTACAGGGACTCCAGGCAGTTGCCAGGAATCAACCCTGACCTGAAGACACACATGCCATTTGAAGAGGAAAAAACAAATTAAGAGTGGCTTGTGAGAAATTTAGGGTTAACACTTTATACTGAACTGTAACATAGTGTATTAGATTCTGGCTTAGTGTGTCCTGTGAACCCAGATGTAGAGTAGTATACAATAGGGCTCTACAGCATTTTGGATGATGGGAAATTGTAGTCTAATACAGTACATCCAAAGTAAATTGTAAGAAAGCAATTCTAAATGAAAAAAACCACCACTTACTGTCATTTGAACATCACATCACATTGACTGGTCTCAACCTCCACGACAACTACAAATCAACTGTTGCAATATCACCCAATGATCCAATGATACCATACCTGCCAGGTAACACGTGTAAAGCTATGATTGGTCAACATAGTGAGGCAGGTAACAAAACAACCAACAACACGTGTAAAGCTATGATTGGTCAACATAGGTATTACCTTATATGGTCAGTATGCCTTATATGGTCAGTTTCCTTATATGGTCAAATATGCAAATACATAGCCTTATATGGTCAAATGTACCCAAAAGGAATGTTTCCTCACACACCCTAAACCCCACCCTAAACTTGCACAATAAAAGAGAGGGGCAAAGTTTGCTCTGGGCTTCCTCCCCCAAGAACATGCCTTTGTGTCCTTGTCTTCATTGCCTCTGCGAGAGAAGCCCGTCTGGGCAGTCAGTCCAGGCGTGGGCTACCAGCTGACTCCTCATCCCGGCACTGGGACCAGCAACTCATCAACTGGTGGCTACCAGCTGACTCCTCATCCCGGCACTGGGACCAGCAACTCATCAATCAACCTTTCAGGACCAGATTATCCAGCAGGTAAAAAAATTCAAGGAAACTTTCAAGGATTCATATATTGTGTGCATATTTTGAAAATCATAACACAATGTTGCAAGTTTCTGGGCAAGATCTGTTTTAATTTGAACATATTTTAATCTCATATTTTATCTTTTAAATTGTAGGTCACATAGTATGCCTATTTTAATTGTGATGCTTCTGATACGAATAAATAAACATAGGAACAATGTGGTCAGGCAGCGAAGTAAGAACGTCAAGAAAAAGGGAGACTACATTACACATTCATGTGTACCATATTTTGCATGCCCTCTAACTATAATACATTGTTATAAGGCTCAAATAATGTTCTCAGCCCAGCAACAAAATCTTAAACAAACAACGACCCTCTCTCGCCCCCAAACAGTATCTTGATTGCGAAGGTACACATGACCATCAACTAACCTCTGCCCTTCGCATCGCGGGAACCTCTGCTTTGAGGAGGAATCCCTATGACAGAGGTTTCCGGGAGGAACAAAGCCACGCCCATCCGTGCACGTTATTGGTTCTATGAGAATATTGCCTCCACGACAACGACAAATCAGTGGGTGTCCTGCATCCAAAATGGGAGGAGATAAAACATGACTCGAGAGCTATATGTATAGAGTAGCCTTAGGAGAGGAGTAAAAGGGGATATTTGCAGGAATCACAAGCACCAGCGTTCTGCTAACCAGAAGCCTCCAAACTTGGCAACTTTAAGACGAATTCTGGGAGTTGAAGTCCACACGTCTTAAAGTTGCCAAGTTTGGGGAGCCCTGTGCTAAGCTTATTTTGATCACCTCAGCAACTTTTAAGATGTAGGGACTTCAAATCCCAGAATTCCCCAGCCAAGCCAGCAGTTGGAAGCGGGCTGCTGGGGTATTTTGGGAGTTGAAGTCCATACATTTTAGAACTGCTTAGAAGTTCAGAAACACTGCGCCCGGCACAAAAATTATGTTAACGGAGAAAAATTGTAATGTTTTCCTTTTATTCAAATTCACATGTCACGGACATAGTAGCATAGAGAAACATTATTAAAATAATAAAATTGTTTACTACAGAGGGTGAACAAATGACCGACAGGAAATTGCCACATTTATAAAGCCTATTAATGATTTATGAGGAACGCGGAACTCATTCAATATATTTTTCCCAGCAGGTTTTTTTTTAAAAAAACTTTATTGCCGCATCGTACGATTGCGCCTCTACCCTTTCCTATTCCTCGGGAAAAGACGAGAAGGCGGAATAAAATGACCGGCAAGGGAATCGACCGCTAAGACGGGTAGTTCTATCAGCATATTGCTTTGATAGGGCAGTCTTGCCGCTTGTTTGCCATCCTACGCTCGCTATTGGTCAATTCGAGGGGGTGGGGCCGCGCTCCAGAAGGCCCGTCGGAGGGGCGGGTGGCCGCTTCTCGTGCAGAGATGGCCGATGAGGTTTGCAGGGCTCAGGCTGCTCAGCCGGGCGGGGACACCATATTCGGAAAAATCATCCGTAAAGAGATCCCCGCCAAGATCATCTTCGAGGACGACAAGGTGGGGAAACGGGGGCGAGTCCGAACTTGCATGGCTGCGGGCATAAGTCTTATTAGCCAAGTCTATTTGCCTTTTTTGGCTGCAATGCCACGCTGGACCGGCATTCGAATGACTTCGAGCCGTGCTCCGTGGCCGCGTTGCCTCGGGATTGCGATCTCGTAACTTGTGGGTAGAGTGCCAAGCAAAGCGAGGTAGACTGTCTTTGCACCTGGAGGCTCTATTTTTCGTGCCTCTTTTCCCCCTCTTCCCCCCCCCCCAAAAAAAAAACGAGCAAGGAGGATATGTTACCTGCAACTAACGTCCATCCCTGAATCTTAAACGTTTTCTATCTTTAAGATTAAATTTCTTAAAATTCTTTAGCATAATCCTAACCATTGCAGCGTGTTCTCAATTACCGAGGTACATTCCAACCCTTGGTCCTGCCTGGTGGTTGTATAATTTTACATACAACTAACCATCGCAGGAATATTTTTTTCTCCTATGTCTTCATGATATTTTCGTTTCATACCAAATGAATAATAACTAGAACAGGGAATGCTATGTGCTTCTTTGCACTTCAGGAGGAAAGGTGCAATAGAAATGATGATTTGACTGTTCTCCAAAGTAATGACTGGTACAGATTTTGTGCACCTTTAGGATACTCTTGGACTGGGCCTGACCAAGGGAGAAAACATGTATATTTAAAGACAATGCAAAATTGTTCCACTGCTGTGCTGATGACAACATGAAGGAGACACCATGAGGACATACAGAAAAAATATATGCTACAACATATTCTTGCCAGGGTTAGATGCAAATAAAGAACTATTTATTACGATCAAATCCAGGGCCTGATTTTCACACTTCCCTCTGATTCCAGGGATCAAATAAAATAAAACCTGGTTTGCAGTTCCTAACCCTAACTACGAAAGAAGAGTCCCAGGCTGGAGAGGATTTCCTTTCTGATACTTCCCTCTTTATGGCTCCATTTTAACTACAATCTCTATTCACAGTTTTAAGTTTATGATTAGAAGCAGTGTATTCATTCTCAGTCAAAATGAATATTTTTAAGGATCCCAGTAGAGCTATATTTTTAAAAAGCTGAGATTGCAATTCAACAAATGCATCTCACAGTCCATTTCTCATAGTCTTCATGTCCATAATTCCTAATCAAGTTTTGCTTAAATTAATTGTATTTTAAAATACTATTGTGTTATAAAGAGGGCAGGCCAGTGTAGGGTAATATTTCATACAAATTATTCCAGTTATGAACTTGTTTTTGGGTTCACATGCTTACTTAAAATTTTCTATTCGTTTTATAAAAGCTATGACTAAAATGTTGTCTTTTTCTATTCAGTGCCTTGCATTTCATGATATTTCTCCACAAGCTCCAACTCATTTCCTAGTGATCCCCAAGAAGCATATTGCTCAGATATCTCAAGTGGAAGATACTGACGCGGAGGTAAGTATTGCAAAAAGACTTTCTGTTAAATAGCAGCCAGCTTTCCAATAATAAGGGGTTAACTTGGATCAAAATTTGAGAGATCTGAAGAAGGATAAGTAAAGTTTTGGTATGTTTGCTAAACAGCAAAATCTCAGAGTTGGTTCAATGATTAGTTTTTTATTTTTAGAATGGTAACTATTGTCATTTTAAATGTACACTAATCAGCATACATTAAAATGAGATTTTCTTGCATAAAGCTCTCAAAGGATAACCTCTTCCAATATACACTACATAAACATGACAAAAATTCTGCATATAGCTACATACACACACACATATGACTCAGAGAAACAACACAGTCTAGTTTGGAAGTGGGCTTCCTGTAATTTTAGATGTCCTTACCACTCTCTGTATGGACTTTCTATCTGAGGTGCTGCTACCACCAAAACAAAAAGTGATGCAGTTTGTTTAAACGCTCTCAATCATGCCTCTAAAAAGTGGCTAGGTCAGAAGGAGAAAGATGTTCTGTCTGATGCAGGACATGCAAACACTGGTCACTATGTATCACTAAGAATGATGTGTGGAGAAAACATTTCATATTGTTAGTTTTCTGCACTCCCAGATATTTAATACTGTTGACTACCTCTACAGCTGCAGTTTTGATAAGTGTGGAGTATAATTATGCTGGCTCTTTCTAAAATCTACAATGATCTACTTTGATTTAATGTGATTGTATTATACATGTAATATTAAACTACCTTTCAGTTTTCAAAAGTTTTTTTTTCAAAGCTTTAACAAATGTAATGGATTTATTTGAAAAGAATAAAAAACTGTCCCAGATTAGTTCCATGTTTGTCAACAAAAAGAGCTATTTTCTTAGTCTCTAGGGGTGGTGTGGGAGCAAGAATCTTATTATTAATAGCATGAGGAGAGGTAAATTGTCAAGGCTAGATGATTTTCCTGGAGAAGTCAGGCTTTTTTTTTTTTTTCATTTTTAAATATGGGTTTCTAGGATATTTAAATTGTTCATGAGAACCCAAAACTTGAATAGCAATTCTTTCTACAAGAAAATTAGTCAATTTCAGCATAGGGTCTGAATATATTGGAATAGAGTAAAATCTGGACAGTTCTTTTAGTTGTAGGAATTGTAGCTGGACATCATAGTCAAACTTCATTGCCTTGTGTAGTAGCTATCTGTGAAGACCAGTGCTATCACTTTAAGTTTCTACACAAGGTTTATTTTGATTGTGTACTATATTCTAAATAAGGTTCATTTACCTTGCATGTTATATTTAGTTATAAATATTTACAATCTTTGTAAATAATATTTATAGTACAATCACAGTTATGTATTGTTACATTTTCAATATATTCTTAAGGTAAGCAGTTCGTATACAGTAGCAGCAATGGCTAATAACAGATCCTTAATAGCATTTTACTTTCCCCAAGTTTCTCTCTGAGTGATTTTTAAACAGTTATTATAAAACCTCCAATAGAGTATAAGGGAATGCTCCCCTGAGAGCATAGCTCGTACCTTCTCTAAGCATTTTTATGCCAGGTTAAAAGAAGGAAGAACTGGGATTCACCCCTCCCCCCTTTTTTGCTATTATTTTTCTGAGCTAATCTTCAGTATAATAATAAGTAAAACTGCTGAAAGGAACACTTGAGAAATGGCTGAATATGCAAGCTGCTTTGGCCCTTTTATGTTGTAAGTTCCCCACTTTTGATGAGGTAAATAGTTACTGATGCCAAAGCTATACTGTATATGTACACTTTTGATACTGAATTTGATTTTGGTTTGGCAATTCGTTGGACTTTTGGGGGGGAGTGTCTTAAAGTGATGTGCTTTTCTTTTTTTTTCCAGCTTCTTGGCCATTTAATCATTGTGGGAAAGAAATGTGCAGCTCAATTAGGCCTGACTAGAGGATACCGAATGGTTGTGAATGACGGTCCAGATGGTGCTCAGTCAGTCTATCATGTGCATCTCCATGTTCTTGGGGGACGTCAGATGAGCTGGCCTCCAGGCTAAGACTCCGAATGAGAAGAAAAATGTTGTCCTTAGTCTGTTGAATAGAGTCCACACTTGTTCTGTCTATAATACCAATTAATTAATATTTGTGTGGAAGACAATTATACATTTTGTCCATAAATCAATAAAGTTTATGCTTAATTATTCTTTTTTTTTTCAATTTTATATTATGTAACAAATTAGTACAGTCTGAGACTCAGGGCTATATTCAGCTGCTAAAAACTGTGGATGCAGTCACTGGAAACTTCCCAAAAGCTGTTTCTAAGTTGTAATGTTACTCTGTTAGAAAAGAAGATTGCAAACACAAAAAAATAATGGACTTCAAATTAGGCATGGAGATTGAGAGTAAATAAAGAGATACCTTAAGCCCACTAATTAATTAGAAGCCTGACCTGGTAATCAAAATATTCCACTCCTCATCCCAGACCACACAGGACTTTTCTTATCTAGAGAGCTCAAGAAGAAATGTGTACAATTGTCTAAGAATCAGAGCTGAATTGCCTCTTTAAAAAGCACTTTTGTGTACAA